CTACAGTGGCGCAGCATCCTCGCTTTTAGAGTTGCAAGGCTACTAGCTGAGCTTTGGGCACATTTGTGGGTTACCCAACGTACAGAGCTGCATGTGGGGCTGAGGAATGCATATTTACAGCAAGGATGTTGTGGTGGGTCACTTAACTCTATTCCCGTTTCTGAGAATAGGACTGGGGGTTTGAATTAAATGCAATGCTGAGCGCATTTGAAATATTCCACTCTGCACATTTTGTAGCACTGATGATTGAACTCGACATCCAGCTTGCCAGAAGCCGTGTGTTTGGTATGTACATGGCGCACTTAGAAATCTAATTCCTAATTCTGTGCTGTGCTGGCAATAAGGGACTTCTGACCTCTGCTGCCCCGGCGCACGGAGATCAGATGTGTGTGTGTGACTCGGAGGAAGCTGTCTTAGTTGTTCACTGATGTAAGAAAAAGAGGTGGAGCTGCAGGAGCCAACCGAAACCCAAAGCACTTTTATAACCTACCAAGTTCCTGCCCCAAAAAAAGCCATTCAAACCCCACTTCCCTCAAGAGATAAAAGTCCCCTGCATTGAGAGAATTTCTGGAGCATCTTGTGAGCACTATGTACAGCCTCCCTTAATTAATGGAAGGCAGCTCAGTGCAGTTCTGTGAAAAGCTCCAGTGACACAAAGCCCAGAAAGGCTCTAGCAAGGGAGCACAGCACCAGAAGGGTTTAATGGCATTATAATGTCCTTGAATTACAGTGGCCACAACATGGAGAGATGTATTCCTGCAGTACATTAGCAGTAGAAGAAAATCTACTCTTTCTCTCTTGAGCCCTCGTCACCTTTACTGAAAACTGGAGTTGCCATCCCTGGGATATCAAAACTCAAAGGCAAGAAGCAGGAAAAGGAGATATGGGGTGGGAGTCCTCAGATTTTGGAAAGAAAACAAATTGTTTTGCCCCACAAATCACCCACCTTTTTCCAGCCCCTTTGTACTTCCTATTGCATTTTATAATGTGTTTAATAGTTTTCTGAAATCTGTCTGTTTGGGACCGAGCTTTTGCAGCCTCATAATTCCCTTGATAACTGTCGGGAAGCTGTTTGTTGACTTGGTGCAGACCCTCTCGTTCATTCGCACACTCACGTGCGCGTATCCGAGGGTATGTGCCGTCACTCCATTCATGCATTTAATAAACTTGAACCAGGGCCATTTCAGTTGTGTGCGGCGAGGCGTGTAACGCAGGAACTGTAGTACAGGAAGGAGGGTCGGTAGTTAAAGGCTGTTTATATGAATTAACGCTAAAGAAAAGGAGCTGCTTGACAGACTGAAGAATTGAAATCCATTACAGACTGAAAAGGAGACATGCGGGCTCAGAAAAGGCAGTGGCAGCAGAAGCTTCTCTGTGCTGCCCCCGTCAAGATGAACATGGAGAAGCCATGCGAGGGGGGACCCGGTCGCTCCCTCCGCCTGTGTCAGCCGCGGGGACTGCCCGGAGGCTGCCAGCTGCTGAGTGGCATTTGATGGGCCTTTGCTCATGTGTGTATTTGTCCTGCAGAGGCTCAGCTGAGTCCCGTCAAACTCATTTCACAAAATAGGCGCTAATTTCCAACAAACAGCTTAGAAAACTCAATCTCAAAAGAGACAGAGAAGCTCGTTTTTTCTTCTTTCTCGGCATCTTTTTAGTCTTTCTCTTGTTCTGGAAGATGAATGGTTCGGATGTGTCTGCAGTAACATGGGCATGGCTAATCTGCCTTTCTATTGATGACCTGTTTCTGAATGTCCTGGCCTGATTTATGAAAATGTACTGTACTTTGCACCGTGTTTTGATGTTGCTCTGTTAGGACTGCATGCAAACTGCAGCGGAACAGTGACGCTTATTCATTCAAACAGTGAAGGGCTGGCTGGGAACTGAATGAGCTCATAGTTGTTGCTGTCTTCACTTACAGAAAGGGAAACAGGAGAAAGAGGGTATCCCAAGCCTAGTTATTCTTTTCCTGACCATCAGTTTGTTTTATAAATCATAATCTTGAAAGCACAAGGTCATAGTATTTAATCATTCTTATAGAAGGTTTTTAGGGATGGATTCTTATTTCAACTCTCCTTTCTGTAATAACCCCCACTAAAGTTGGAACTGAGGTTTGTTTCCCTGCCAAATTTTCTTTCTCTTGCTATTGCTTGAGCATTAATGAATTTAAAATCTGAGCGTCTGGTTCCTATCTCTTACTTGCATAATTCAGCAGTTACCTCTAGTGCCTGGGAGAGTCTCAGCCTTGTTCCAGCCCCTCTGTGCTGAATGGCTCTTCACACACACAGACTAATAAAAACGACGGCAAAATCCCCCCTGTGCTCTCTAGGTGTGCTTCCAAAGCCTCTGCTCGGACAGGGAAGCCTTACCCGGGTGGGAAGACGCTGGGCAGGTCCCCTGTTAGAGGCCCCATTGGAAGTGCAGAGGAAGGGATGTGCAGGGGAGGCAGGAGAGGTGAGCTGGGGAGCCCGGCGCCGGGGGCTCAGCGCTCGGCTCTGCTCTGCAGAGGACACCGCAGTGGTTTGGAAACATTCCTTAATTGTGATTTCTGTGCTGCAAGGCACAGAAGTTTACCTGTTACCTTAAATCACTAGGAAATGGTTTCAGTCCTAGCTTGATCACCCATGGGGACATTTAATTGCCTAACGTGTTAATTAGCTAAGATTCACGCATATGAGGTGTTGCTAGCTGGAAGCAGAGGTGGTGAGGAGTGGCACTGAAAGCCATTGCCTGGCCTCATGCCCTACTAAAGAAAATCCTTGTCTTCAGGCTGTTCGCTTGCCTGTGTGGTCCAGCCCCCGGAGCACAAAGACTCAGGGCAGTCAGCTCCCAGGCTGAATGTTTTCCTTGGGGCCACTTTGGCTTCAGCTTTGATTTGTTGCCTCTCAGGTGGAAATCAGCACTTTGAGACTCTGCCCAGTTTTTCTTCTCGCTGGCATCTCAGGGAAAGGAGGAAAGGTAGAAAGCAGCAGACATGGCTTATTAGCATGTAGGAGAGTTGTCTGGTTTGAGAACAACACTTAAAATACAGAAAGGCAACAGGGATAAGTGCAGTGCCGGCAAGGAATAGATGAATTCCACTTACGGAAGCAAGGTAACCCACGGGGCGGGAGAAGGAGCACAGGTACTAGGTACCGCCTGAAGGTCTTCTGAGGCGCTGCCTGAAGGTCTTCTGACTTCCTGCCTGTCGCAATGGCTATTAGATGTTGCAGGCTGAAAGCATGATGTAGTTCTTGCCCTGAAAACGTTACACCCCCATTAGTGTGCCTTCTGTAAGGATGCAAGAATGATGTCTGCTCTCCTGCTGCTGCCAAGATATGCTGCTCCCAAAAGGTGAATGTGCTTATGCTTCCAGCCTGCCCTAGAGCCATTCCTGCAGGCTCACATGAAGCTTCTCCCGGAGTCTTGCAGCCTCCCTCAGCTCAGGCCAGTTTCGATCAGCAGTATGATGAAGTGGGTATTACGTTAGTTCCACAGGCCCCAGCTGGAGCTGGGGCTCGGCGGTGCTCAGCTACCTGCTGTGAGGTCCTTCCCTTGCGTTGCATACTCCCAAGCTTGGAGGCTCTTTTGACAGCAACTAGGTTTCCTTGCTGTGCAGCACAATGACATTGGATCCTGATAGGAGCCGTTAAAAGTTGCTGTAAAACATGCTAACGTGAGAATCTCCCGAAAAAGATAATTCTGCCTGTAAATAAACTCCTCACTTTCCTG